TTTTATTCGGAACTTAGAAGTGTTTTACGTTACTTTTATTCAGAACTTAGAAGTGTTTTACGTTACTTTTATTCAGAACTTAGAATTGTTTTACGTTACTTTTATTCAGAACTTAGAAGTGTTTTACGTTACTTTTATTCAGAACTTAGAAGTGTTTACCGTTACTTTTATTCAGAACTTAGAAGTGTTTTACGTTACTTTTATTCAGAACTTAGAAGACTATTTATCTTGTGACAGTCATGAAAACTGAACAAGAATTTCAACAATTGTTTTAAGTTAATAATCCATTTCCCACAAATCGAATCCTAGCTTTTCTTTCTACCAAAATGTATATACGCAAAGACACTTATTGCACGAAAAACTAATAATAACACACCATTTGAGTATTCATTTTATTATTAAATCCTTTAAATCTCTTTGATATAATTCAGCTGCTAAGAAAACTCAGTCATTGTTGCGTCTGATTCTTTTACTGAGATTGTTCTGGGTGGTTTACCAGCAAGAAAATAAATATAAATGTAACTGAACAAACGAATTGTAAATAGAAAATTTAGAAACGTTATTAAACAACCTGAAAAGTAAGTAATCAGCGTATCTTAGTTTCCGGTTAGCTCGCCATCTATGTTCCAAAACGCAAATCACCAAAGAAAACAACAAAATAAATACAATTCCGATTGTAGTATTTTTATATGCTAACGAATCGATGTTTATTAAAACTGACATTATTATAATTAACATGGTTCTAAGTTTTAGTCAGATTATTAGAAAAAAATTATGGACTATTTGTTTTTCTAATAAAGCACTAAAACCGCTTTATCAAAACATTTAGGATACTTATTTCTAAACAAAATATATATTAAACAGCAAAAGTTAACAAGTTGGTGTCAAAGACTCACCAAAAATAGATGTAAGATTAATGCAAGTTTGCGAAAAGAAATCAATTTTAAACGAATTGATTCAGTTAATTTCCCCATAACTTTGTAAGTTGCAATAAAAAATTTAAGCTGTTTTAAATAATATTTTCTAAAATATTTATAAAGATCATTTTTCTCCAAACACTTCTGTCGAATGTATCCGTTACATTTCAGCATTATGCTAAAAAAATAAGTTGTATTTTGATTGTGTAACTTTCGGTACAGCATTTCCCTTAACCATAAATTGAGACTTTCTGTTTTGTCTGAAAACTGCCAGTTGTTGTAGTTCTCTTTCCCATTAGAAACAACTAAAAAGAAAACAATAGCGCCACAAAGAAGTCGTGTTGTCACGAATTATTTTTATGATAAATATCAAATGTTGCCTTGGCGATATTTTGTTGTTGTTTTAATATTTGAGGTTTCAAAAGTGAGTTTAATATGTAATCTTAATATCTATGAAAGTTAGGTAAAAACAATGAATTTTGATTTCGTCTTTTCATGATTTAGCTTCGTTTTTTGGAGACAGCTATGCTTCAGTGCCATTTCAAGACGCCAGCAGCAGCACCAATGTATTTTTACGGTTCAAAACTCGTCGTAGTGATGCGTTACTGTTCTTAGCGTTGGGGCCTCCAGATTACTGCCTGGTCATTCTTGAAGAAGGGGAAATCAAGGTAACCCCCCAATTAGAGTATGTGTAAGATATTATTCATTCAAAGTAATAACTATTTGTCTAGATTCTCAGTAATTTAGTAACAACTTCTAGAAATGAACGCAAGACCCCCAACTGTGAATACGGTGTATAATACTGTAGAGGGTGCCACCAAACAAAATCAATTAAAATATAAAATAAAACAACGTAAAATGTATAACTTTTTTATATTTTATTAAAAACAGAGTACAAAGTTTCGACCAGACGTGTGGTTATTATCTTCAGGTACAAACATTAAACTGAAAACGTCAAATAGTGACTTAAATAAAAAAAAACTTATCCGACCTGTACAGGGTTTCAAAGTAAACATAAGTTAATACCAGCAATGTAATTTATTTTTAGGTTTCAATTTATTTATCATTAAAGCTTATTTTATTTTTCTTATAGTAACGTTATGTTTATTGCGTATAATTTTAAATTATTTTCACTAGATTGGCGTGTTCCTAAATTATACTGTTTAAAGTTACGTCTTTCAACTATGTGAAAATTATCACACTCTTTACAACTAGATTTGTAAATAGTTCATGGTTGTAGGGATTTGTGTAAACTTTCTTTAATAAATATTTTATTTTCCATCTGTTTTTGTACAAAAACATTTATTATTAATATTATTGTTTTGAAGCTATTCCCGATATATTGATAATATATTGAATAACATATCAATATACTGGTAGATTTATAGGTTTTTCTTTGTTAGCTACATTTTCATGGGGAATTTTTGTTGTTATTATTTTGAAGATTATTTTTACATTTGTTTAATGTGTTTTTTTAATTTCTGGTTTTGCAAAATTGCATTTTGCTTCAAAGTTTTGAGAAATAAACTACATTTCTTTATCTGGATTTGTTGTAAAAGAGAGACCATTATAACGATAATTAAGCTAAACGTAATTTATTGAAAAACATGAAAGCTCTGTATGTGTACGACCAACCTATGATTGAATTAGTTGTTCTGCGTATGGCTAATGTTTTTGTATTGAAATTAATTCAAACGTCTAGTATTTTCTAAAAGTTTCCATACGCAAGTGGTCTGCAACCGCTCTTCTGAAAAATCTCTTTAAAAAGGCTTGAACCGAAAGTTCTTCTCATCTACAAATAAACCAACAAATAATTATTTCCAACAACTATACGGAGAATCTATGCTATAGGTTGATAATGTTTTTTTTTGTACTTTTTTTATACCAATGATAATTTTGGTGTGTGATTGTTTCATCGCGAATTCCCCGTCACACCAAACACGCTAGCCCTTTCAGCCGTGGGGCGTTATAACGTGACGGTCAGTCCCACTATTCGTTGGTAAAAGAGTAGC